ATGTCTGTTCTTCCTTTTGGCTAAACCATTTTGTTGAGGTTTGTAAGGACAAGAAAACTGATGCACGATGCCTTTGGAACTGAGAAACTCATGAAATCGATTGCTAACATATTCACCACCCCCATCACTCTGAAAGTACTTAATAACTGCTGAGAATTGATTCACCACAAAAGCATAAAACTTCAGAAAGTGAGAAAACACCTCTAATTTTGCAAACATTGGATAGATCCAAGAGAAACCAGTGAACTCATCAATGAAAGTAACAATATATCAATATCCTTGAAAAGATTTACAAGGGGATGGTCCCCATACATCGCTATGAATCCGATGAAAGGGAGTTACAGCTTTATTATGATGAGTAGGAAATGGTAAACTATGCATTTTGCCACTCAAACAATATTGGCAAATGTGAGGGTAAGAATCGACTATGTGAGGTAAGCTAGCAGACTTAAGCATACTGTGAACCACTTCATTAGTAGGATGTCCAAACCTACTGTGCCACAAGGAGAACTTGAACTGTTGTCTAAGATAAGCCAATTCATGAGGAGCAGCTTTATTAGGAGGTAAGGAGGAAGCAGCCACACCAGGAATCAGATAGAGGCCACTATGACTCCTCCCTGTGAGCAGCACCTGTTTGGTGACCTTGTCCTGTATAGAAAACCCAAACTGATCAAATATCATAGAGCAATTGTTCTCCTTACAAAGCTGATGCACAGACATCAAATTAGCAGTGAGTTTAGGGACATGGAACACATTAGACATGTGTAAAACAGAAGAGGAACTAGAAACGGAAGCATGACCAATATGAGCAACAGGCAAACCTTCCCCATTGCCAACTATTACTCTATTCTCATAAGCACAAGGCTGAGCTGACTCCAAAGTATTGACATTTGACACCATATGATGGCTAGCACCACTGTCTGCAATCCACAGAGTCTCAGGAGCATAGGAGACTTGAGCAGTCATAGCATTGAGAGTAGGTGGTGGAGGAGAGCCTTGATAGACATAATTCGAGCGATGATAACAATCAAGAGCACCATGGCCACGTTTGCCACAAATCTGGCACTCCACCACAGAGGAGGAAGGAGATGATGTAGAGGAAAGGTTTCGATAAAAGCAATTCACAGCAGTATGACCACACTTAGAGCATATTTGACATTCAGGTGTGATACCAGACCTAGGAAAACCACCGGATGGCCTCGGAGCAAAATAACCACCACGATTGGTAGGACGATGATTAGGAAACCTCCCACGACCAAAATTCTGAGAAGAAGGCCCATAGGCTGGAGAAGAGGTAGCCTGAAAACCAGAGGGAGCAGAAACAGAATGCGGTGTAGGAAGAATACCAGCCCCTGGAGTTGGAGACATCGATGAACTATGGCCAATCATTGCCGTCATAGGAGAAATAAAAGAGGAAGGACGCGACTCGACAGCCTGTTCAGCAGCAAGGAGCTGCGTACGAAAATCCTTGAGAGAAACAGGTGTCTCACGAGCAACAAGCACAGTTCTAATCATATCATAATCGGAAGGTAAACCGTTCAAGACTGAAATCATAAGGTCATCATCAGAAATGGACACACCAGCAAGTGCAAGCTGATCACGCACATGCTTAAGACGAAGCATAAACTTTTCAATGGAATCTGCCCCTTTCTGTGCAGTCTGAAGCTCTGTTTTGAGAAAATTGAGACGAGCTCGAGAGATAGTAGCATATCGATCGATAAAACTGAGCCAAGCATCGCGAGCGGTTTTGCTTCCGATAACGTACTCGATCGCGTCATCAGACAGAATTGCAATTAGGAGACTGAGAAGCGCTTTGTCAAGCTTAAGCCAGTTCTTGTAGGCAGCCGTAACCTCAGAAGTGGCTACTTCTTCATTCACAAAGGCAAATTTGGGAGGAGGAACAACGGAGCCATCGAAGTGACCAAAGAGCTCATGTCCTTCAAGAACTGATTCAATTTAATACCGCCACTTCATGAAGTTATCATCATTGAGGCGAATCGTAATCAATCCAAGGAGACCATCAACCTTGAGAGAAGAAGCCATAGCTGAAAGTTTGAGGAAGAGACGAAAACGAAAGGTTTTGCAGATTTGCAATTGAAGAAAATTAGGGTTTGCAAAGGGTAGAATTGGGGAAAAACGAAGATGAAGATTAGAAATTAAGTTTGGCGGAGATTAGAAGTGGAGAAGAGGAAGAAGAAGACCAGAGCAAGAAGGCGGAAAACAGAGAACTCAGGAAGATCGAGAAGGCGTGAGCCACCAAGGGCGCTGATACCATGCTAACAGTATAGAAAATAAGAGAAT